CACTTTAAATCGTTTTGATAAGTTTGTAATTTTACCGTAATTTTTTTGTATTATTACAATGTATTATCTGGTAAAATATACAGTGTGATCCAAAAAGTATAGTACCTATTTAGCTCACTCTTGACCAAGGATTCCCAAAGTACTCGATACCGACCCCTTGGAGTCGAAATCAGTTTCCCACAGGTCGACATAAACTAAAACTGAGTTTAGGTTCCGACGAGGTCTAAAAATCGACCCCCTAATAATTAACACATTATTTAAAACTTTTAAGACACTGTATAAGTTGTGTTACGTGTACCAACTTGTTATAGGAATGACCAATATTTTAGTAGGAAGTATCATTGTTTTACTTTTAAAAAACTCAACAAGTTGATAAGCGTGCACAAGTTCGTACAAGATGAAAAACTTAGCAAGTTAATAAGCGTAGACAAGTTAGTGCAAGATAATGAGTTCGAGGCACGTTTTGACTTGCTCTGTATTGAAGTTAGATTTTTTTGATGCCATCGTGTGATATCAAATGAAAGCATTTTGATACATTTTACAAATATAATATATGTTCGTGTCTTTTACTTTGTCGAGACAAAGCAGGCAAGTCAAGACGAGACAAGAGACGTAAATCTATCGTCTAGTCATGATAAGCCTTAAATTTAGAATATATATAGTCAGGAAGGAGGAATCCTAAACGACCTTGGAATCGCGATGGTATCTAATTTTGACAGTGAACTAGACGAATATGGCGACAAGTATTTTCGGTCTGCCAGTGACGTACTGTCATAAAGGAGCGTAGAAAAGAAATTCTCATTTGCATATTATCTAAATTTAGCGATTTATCTCATTTTAACGAGTTGCTATTTTCTTGCAAGAAGTTTGCATTTTGTTTTATTAACCTTCATTTTGTGAATAAATTTTACTTTAAAATTGCATGTTGGGTGGGATAAATATAGGAAAATATTTTTGAGATAATTTATAGAGGGATTTCATTTAAAAAATCAAAGCAATAATGTATTAAAAAAAATATTGACTTTTTACGTCTTTATTATGACAATGTCTTTATTAATCTACATGCGTTAAAAAAATTAAATATCCTATACTTATATTTAGGTCAAACACCACTGTGATATTTCTTTCTTAGATGTTTTTGATGGAGTACATATAAAACTTCCTAATATCGAAGAGAATTTCTGATTATTTTACATAATATTATTAGTAATATTTTTTGCAGGACAATTTTGCATAAGCAGGTAAAACACCTTTCCAAGAAAGGATCCTACAACGTAAATTTGATTCTATGAGTGCAAAATAGATTATTTTTAAATGTACATTCAACGCATTATTTGTATGCTTAGTCCAGTTATGATGAGAGTCAATTTGTACTCTAAGGTATTTTATCTCATTTGTAATACTTAGATGAAACTACTGAACATTACCTTTTATTGTTTCTATAGGAAGATGCCATCTTTTTGTAACTGTATAATGGAACAACATAAGTTTTATCAAAGGTTTGTAAATTTTTATAATTAAACCATTCGAAAATTTTTATAAGATCTGTTTCTATTAATAATTTTAATCAATTCCAGTTATTTGTATTTTACAAAATAACTGTGTCGTCTGAAAAACTTAAAATATTTTTATCTGTATTTAAACGACAAATTATTTAAAATAAAATTAAACAAGATAGGACCTAAGACAATATCTTGAGGCATGCGATATGCTACTTATTTCCTTACTTGAGATATTATTAATTCTATTTGTGTTCGTTTTTGTAAATAACTTTGGAATAAATTATATAGGGCGGATCACATTCATACAATAAACTTTTATTATACGAAAAAACGGCACATGATATAGTTAGTAAAGAATTTATATACTTCAACCGGACCACTTTTATTGTTCGAACAGCTGTTGGTAGAAGTCTTATTCTTGGTTTTGAGGTTCAATCAAAACAATCTGCTTTAAAATGGCGTTAACACAAAAAAATAAGATAGTTTTGTTCACAATTTGTTTGTTACATGAACTCAAGTCATAACTTTGTTTTTTGAGAATCTTTAAGAAATCTGAAAATTGTCTACCTGGGATTAATTTATATAATTTGTAAATCTAAAATCTTTAAGAAATCTGAAAATTGTTTTCTTGCAATCAATTTATAAATCTAAATTAAACAATAATTTATTCATTTTAACAACCACATAAATATCTTAAAATTGTCTAAAATAAATATTTAAATAAAAGTTTGTATACCCTATAAACCATGAGCCTACTACTATGAGCACAGTGCATCGCAGATGCACTTACCATGTTTGTTTACAAATTTAAAACATTAAAAATTTTAAAAATCTTTAATGTGGTTGAAAATTGAGAGAACAAAATACTTGCTTATGAAACGTAAATTATTCGTTTCTACTTTTAGCTGTGCTGCTATATCCACAAGACGAACAACTGACCATATTGTCTTGTTTATCTTTTAACGCGGAAAATTTAAAATTAACAGTAATACTAAATAAATACTAAAACACTAAATACTTTTTAAAAATGTCTACAAAACATACGCTTGATAAAAGTTTAAATTAACTTATAAAACATCCAAAATATTAACAAATTTTAATCAGTAAAATTATAAACCAATTTTAGAAACCATTTATCATATGTTGATGAGTCATCCATAGTACAATATGGCTACCACTTCCGTCAGATCGATTAGATTAACGCGGACATAGCGTGCTTCTTCCTGACTATATATGTTCTAAGGCCTTAAAACACTCAACTCGCTGATAAAATAGTGAAAAATTATTTTTTGTGTGTGAAAGTACAACAACAGTTGACATTAAACCATTGGCCATTAACTAGATAGCAAAATTTATCGATCGTTCTGACTGAATAGTCATGACTGGTCATGTTTGTCAGTTTTCTTTTTCGCTAGACGTTTTCGACCGGTCCAACCACTCACTTAACGTACCCATAGGTTATTTAGATTTGATCAATAAATAATATTTATATAATCTAAATAAACCCTCCCTAAACACTACATCTATGTGCGAAGTACGATGCCTCTTTCTCGGTATGTTATATAATGCGAACAAAAGTTGTATTGTGTGTATTATTGTGTATATTATTTATATTAAACCAACGACGGTGAACTACCAGACTAATCCATTGGTTCATAATAATTAAGCCCTTAGTTATTATTGTATGCATTTAGATTGTGTTTTGTATTAGGAAGACAAAGCTGTCGCATCGGCTGTTGCATTAGAAAGAGCGAGATAGCTGTCAAATTGAGTGTGGATAATTTGCAACAGTTTATTTATTTGCCGTGCAAGCACACGTTTTATGAATTAATTAGTAATATTACGTCTATGTTCTCCAGATCCTTAAACCTTGACATAAAATGGGCTGTGAGCAATAGTCCCAGTATAGTTCAAACAGAGCTAACGGGGATTCTCATAGGAGCAAAATAAATAACCAGAAACAATATCACTGGAAAGAACATGCTCATCTATACAGATAGCAGACAAGCACTCACTCTGAATAGACTACGAATTTATTCAGGGTTAGTACTGGAATGTCACAAAGTTTTGGCCGAAGTATCCATCAACAACGTGGTCAGGTTAGGATGGATCAAAGGTCACGCCACATCGAAAGGTAACTGTCTTGCTGATTCACTGGCCAAGAAAGCATCCAACCAAATACTTTTTGGACCTGGCCCTTCTATTGGCCTGACACAATCGGTAGTGACAGATCTAATTAAAGAACATTCCCTTGTGAAATTCAAGGAAAGATGGGTTAAAACAAGAAACTGCAGAGTTGTCAGGGAGCTTTTAAGTTATCCTGACAACACTGCAACAAACAAATACTTGACTATGACTAGACAGAATCTGCGCCTAGTGACAGGCATTCTGACTGGTCATTGACAAGTACCGAAGCATCTCCATATCATGGGTTTGTTAGAATCCGTACTCTGCAGAGGGTGCGAACAAGAAGATGAGACCATCGAGCATATCCTCTACGATTGCTGAATACTCTCATTTATTAGATTTGTGTTCGGCGAGTATCGGCTAACATCGGCCGATATAAGAAAAGCACCTCTTGGCGACGTTGTCAACTACATTAAATCTGTATACTGGTTTACGAGCTAGGAGGTGCCCTATCGTCTTAGGAGGATGCAAAATGGGCCTAGTGAGGCCTGAGTGTCGTGGAGGTAACCCACCCTCCACACGTTACAGATACAGAGGTATGGCTACGTTTTAAATAAATTGCATACTTTCTTGGAAATCGACTTCAACTATAATAGTTGTAGCGAGGAAAATACATTAAACTGATAAATAAATGGCCTCATAAATAAACTATTCCTTTGGCTACTACTGAAACAGGTATTGAATTATATCCAAATGAAAACAGCAGAGATAGAAAATATTCAAAACAACAAAGGTAGAGTGTTGATATTTTTTTGTATTTCGACTATTTTCCTTTGGATGTAATTCAATTACTGTTACATTAATAGCCAAAGAAGTAGTTGTTTTCCCGAAGGAAACGATTACTCATATTATGTGACACTGGGTTTGAGATTTATTTCTATTTTATTTTACATCTAAGTCACATTTAAGTTGTAATTATTTCCTTTTTTATAAATATTAATTCTCAATAGAATAACAAAACAATCAAATTAATTATGTAATTACGTCAGATCTTTCATTAGTATTTGTAATTTATCAGTACCAAAACGAAAATATAATTTAATAAACTAATTGTGCTTTTTGCTTATCACTCCATCGCTCCATAAAACGAAATTAAAATACCGTCATCACTTGTTCATTAGCAAAATACACCGCCATTAACTGCCATTCGTGCTAAGTCCAACTAATTCCATTGAAGTAAAACTAACATGTCCGCCAGTGTAATCCTCGAGAGTGTGGAAATTTTAATACCCAGAAAATATTATAAGGAAATCATACAACAACCTTAATGGGATTAAATCCATACAAGATGTTTTTCGAACAGTCTCAGCTCGGTGTGCAATGAATATAGTGGGTTTTGGTAAGAAACTGCAAACACAATTAATAATGCTTTATTTTTTGAAAAATTCAACTGATTTTTTTATTACATAAGAAAGTTGTTTGATAGTTACAAGAAACACAAAATATATTATTTTGAGTTATTTTGTGATCAATTTCTAGATGAATTATATTGATATTCAAAAGTTATTGAAAATCTGGTGAATATGGTGGATGGAGAACGAATTATAACTTCAATTTCAAGATAGCGATACATAACATTTCCTATATAAATACGAGCGTGTAGTTTTTATTTCGTTTTTGCAGATAAGTAATCAATAAATAGTAGTGCATCATATACTTTTACCTTCTTTAGATAACCTTCTAGATCACTTTCGCTTTTTTGGAACACTTTTGCTCTCTATCTCTCTCCTAATTTAATTTGTGGCAGTTTTATTCGCTCACGAAAAACCATTCGAAGATATTGTAGGCCAGAAATTTCGTTAGGGATTTCGTCATTGATTTGTGTTGGATAGTTTTTTTTACATGAAGTATTTCTGCTTACCGTTTGAGAATTTCGTAGTCGCAAATGATTAGCATTGCGGTTTTTTCGCCAGTTTCTTGCACTGTATAATTTACTTGAACTTATTTCGTATGGAGTTTAGATAACGCATTTGCTGATTATTGGGTTGATTTCTTCCAGACCTTTCTACCCTTTGCCAATATTTATTTGTTGCTTTGGGCGCAACCAAGTTGGGCCAACTACCTGCAATAATCCCCGGTAACCGCTTGGCTATTTTAATCCTTTAAACGCATTAAAGGGCTATGTTGAGTTAGGTCAGAAAATAAAAATTCTTATTTGTAAACAATGTTTATTTCATATAGGTTCAAATACATAATAAAGTACAGGTTATATTATACTATTTGGTGCATATTTAAAAGCAATGTATTGAACAAAATTGACTCTACTTAACTCATTACATTCCAATTGTTGGAGTTTTTGCGATAAATATAATTTTCTTTTTTCGATGAGAGGCCGTAGTTTTTTTACATACCTTTTAGCGCTTACAATTTTTACACATATTTCTGTTTGAAAGTTAAGTAAAATTTCCACAAACTGAAAAATATTCGGATGGCAAGAATAAAAATGGCTATTAAATAATGAATGAAATGACTCACAAGAATTTGAGGTACGTGTCATCGAATCTGAGGCTGAAGCCCATACAAACGGCGAAAATGTAGCATTTGCAGTTATCTACTAAATTCAATTACTTTTTGGTTACCTACTACATCATTGTTTTCAAACAAATCAAATGCAAAACAGTCACCAACTTCTTCTGGTTTTAGAAATGGAACACCAAAAAATATTTCAAATATTTTTCTACTTGATTTTCTGAACGGTAATCAGCGCTTAATCCTAAATATTGAATTTTTCGATACCAGACTTGGGATAAATGAAAGCGACAGCCTATTATTTTTACGTTTTGCCACATAACTTTAACTGCATTATGAATCGCTAACTCAAAATCAATTACAACAAAAGAAGTTTAAAGTAAAGACTTAATGTTTGGCATTTTGCATCCAATAACTACAATAATTTAAGATACACAGATTGTGATTTTGAGAGCAATAAGTAAAATACTTAAGGTACATAGTGTCCATTTTTGTAACCGTGAATTGTAAAAAACTGTAAAAAATATTTGGTCGAATATTGAAATGTACCGTCCATATAAACAGTATCATGAACATAAAAAATTAAAGTTGCTTCTGCAACCAAACACAATTGAAGAGCCCAGTGGATGAAGGTGTTAAGTTACATTTTTGGATATTTCTAGATTTTTGTTGAAAGACATTTGAAAAGTGATATTACATCACATATATTCGTTTCAACTCTTATCAATGATAAATTATAAAGATAACAGCGCATGAAGGAGTTAAGTACATATTACCTGAACTTTTCTCAATGAATGAAAGCGCTAAGTGCACATGGATCCTTCATACATTGAATTGGTATGAAGTTGTCTACCACATAACCTCAAAATGTCAGAGAGTAACAAGTAAGACAGTAGCTAGTTGATCTGGTGTGGTGCTTGCAGTTAGTTCGAATAATTTGAATAAAAAAATATTGTCCAGGGGTAAAAAAATGGTTTTAAGTGTGCAACAAAATAATCCAACTTTTTTAGAACACTCAGAAAGTGAATCGGATCCTGAGGGGTTTGAAGGTAAGTGAAATACTAAATGAGTACCCACGTTAACATTTTTACAGACGTGTATTATCCAACATTTTATTTCATACCGTATATATGTTGTTAATTTGATTTTTTCCGCTTGCTGTAAAATTTCTTTTAGTCCCGATAATAATAATAATAATAATTTTCTAGACTAAAAATTATAGCAGAATTAAATATATAGAATAGTAGGTATTTTAATAATATTTGCATAGGTAATTCTGCAGTAGTTTTGTAAGGAAAATTTGGAGTATTTTTGTAAGGAAAAGGTAGGTTTGTGAGCTAAGTTGCGTAATTTTATTTCAGATAAGGAATACGTTCCCCCAACAGATATTTAGACCAGCAGTAGTGAAGAGGATGAACCTAATAAAAAATTAGGATCACAGTTCTTGACAGCACAGACGGCTGGAAAAGAAAATGACACTAATAAGACGGAGACAGGCAGCTTGGTTTCAACTCATGTGACTGCAGAGATTGAACCGAATTTTATTGATATAGTAGACGAAGTACAACCTTATGAAATGGAAAGAAAATGTGAGAAAAAGAAACAGTCTAGAAAAAGAAAAAGAAAAAGAGATGAAACGAGTTGGAAGTGTAAGCAATCAGCTGCTGCACGTGCACATGGTGAGGAATATATTTCATATAAAGGAACGGTAGTTCCGGCAAAAACCGTAAAGCTTGAGTTACTATGTACTGAAACGTGCAGGTTTAAGTGCGGACAAAAGATTGATGCTGAAACTTGCCGTGAAATACATTCCAGGTTTTATCGGTTGGATATTAATGCCAAAAATGCGCTACTGTTTAAAAGTATTGAAAAGTGCACAATACAGCGGCAACGTACCAATGCAACCAAGCACAAAAGTGCATCATACAAATTTCAAATTACATGTAAGGGAATAACACACCAAATTTGTAAATCTGCCTTATGCTCCTTGTATGGTGTTGGTCGAAAAAAAGTTGAATTACTCCAAAACCAATTAAAAGCGGGTAAATCAGCACCTTCTCCTGATTCACGTGGTAAACATTATAGCAGACCCCATAGGATTGAAGACGAAGTAATAAACTTTGTGAAAGCACATATTCAGTCATTTCCAGCGGAACAGTCCCATTACTCCCGCAATAACAATCCACATAAGCTGTTCTTATCACCAACACTAAACATGTCTAAAATGTACAGCCTATACCTAGAAAAATGTGAAGCAGAGAAAAAACTGGATAAATATAAAATAAAAAAAATGTTCATACATCAATATTTTTTCTACTTTTTTCAATTATTCGTTTGGAATGCCACGCAGTAATACATGTAGCTTATGCGACTCTGGTGAAGCAAACACAGCACATAAAGAAAATTCTGAAGCGGCATTTCACCTTCAAAGACTTGATAGAAAGAAAGCTACCGACAATCCCGAAATAATCTACATAACAGTTGACCTACAACAGACCATGCCATTACCAAAGTTAACCACATCCAAGGCATTCTATCTCCGGCAGATGTGGTTTTATAACCTAGGGATTCATGCCGTATCCACAAATAATGGCGAGAGAGGTTATTTTTTTAATTGGACAGAAGATGTCGCAGGCAGAGGCTCTCAGGAAGTAACAAGTGCATTGTGCACTTTCATTGAATTGAATAAGCAAGCTTTAAGGGAAAAACAGCATTTAATCATTTAGTCCGATTCATGCGCTGGACAGAACAAAAATTTTCAAACAGTATGCCTTTATCAATATTTAGTACTTAAAGGAACATTCTTAAGTATTGAACACAAATTTCCAGAAGTTGGACATTCCTACTTAGATTCCGATCGGGACTTTGGTAGAATAGAACAAAATCTCAGAAAACATGATTTGATCTACGTTCCCGATCAATATCGTGACATCATCAGAGAATCTTCAAAAAAAATCATGTGACTGACATGACTAATCATTTTCGTGATATAAATCAACTACAGGTTCAACTCAAAGTAGTGCAGAAAAAGAAAAATCTTCTGCAAGAAAAAGTACCTTTTCGAGATGGAATAAAATGGATAAGAGTAGAGGAGTTCGGATCTTATTTATACAAAGAAAGCTATGACGCATATACACCGTTTAAAAAAGTGTCACTTTTAAAGAACCAAGCTAGAATTCCCAATCCAACAGACGTCCAATTTCCAAGAGTTCGAGGAAAAACGGGAGAATTATCTGAAAAGAAAATTCAAAATTTAAGAGAGCAGCTAGCGTACGTAAAAGAAGAATACCGATGGTTTTATGAAGAAGTTCTTGGCCAGGCAAATGCAGCAACTAAGATTCAAAGACGATCCATTTAATTACTTAGCATACAGTGTGTATTATTCAGTAAATTAAAGGTTTATCAACACTTGTTGCTTTCTTTCACATAATTAGCCTTCACTAGTTGCAATATTATTAGTGAAAGAAGGTGTTATGTACCAATAAAGTCATCAAAAGTAATCTAAATTATATATATTTTTTAAATTTTCACAATAGATGATATTTTGAAACATGCATTATGCATACAAACCTCTAAAACACATACAATATTTGTAAAATAAAAATCCACACCAATTTTTACAAAATATTGATTATCTCAGAACTACATTTTTGTAACTTAACCCCTTCATCCACTGGGCTCTTCAATTATCTGTGAAGGCCTATCGCAAATAGAAAGAAACTCTTCGTTTTTATTTGTAATAGGATTCATCTTACCTAAACATCCTCTTGATTTTTGGGGAGCGTGGGCATAACAATACGTCTTGCGGCATAAATGTTTTTTCGCACTCTATAAATGTTGTGCGAGGTGATATCTTCACAAAACTCGTTC